GCTTAACAATTTAGTACGTTGATAATTTACCGAAGAGCATTAATTTATACATTTACAATATCGAGTTCTTAGTTTGTCCTTTTTCCCGTTCTTTTCTTTGTTTCCTTTCGTTTTCAATATTTTTTTTTTCGTCATTTTTGGATTTGGAATCGAGATCACAAGAGAAGAGAATAGTTTGTTTGTTTGTCTTTTTCCCTTTTAAATCGTGTTCGCTCGTGCTTCTATGCAGTTTTCACAAATATGTATGCGGATCGTCCGTGAATCGGCACGCCTGTTTTCTCTTTGTTTGTTATATATTTTTTTTTGTTCTACTCTTTTTTTCATACGGCTTCAAAATCGGGTTTGCATCTATCCTATCTAATCGCCTAACCTAATAACTTGTCTTTACGCACATATACGGATAGGACCGAAAGAACAAGAAGAAGAAGAAGTAGTAGTAGAAGAAGGAGAAGAAGTAGAAGGTGGAGGAAAAAACGAATCGAGCGCAGTTGTAAGCGTGCGTTCAAAGGCTCAGAGCTTGCATCTGATGGCACGTGTCGCTCAGCTGACTCTGATCACCAGCCGGATGACCTGGATGAGTCCTTGGAGTTCCTGGTGGAGTGATAGGCATCCTACCAACGCCTGGTGGAGCATCCCCAGCTCCTCCGAGACTGTCCTCTGACACTTTGCTTCCTGTCTGCATGATCCCGTTCACCTTGTACTTGCTCTGTCGTAACATCGTCGTGGTAGCTGGCTGAGAGCTAGATGACGAGCTCGAGTACTTCTCCGTTGGTTTTCTGCTGCTCGCTGACAACGCTGGACTGATGGTGTATCGACGTTGTGTGTTCGACTGTTGTTGCTGTTGATGCTGTTGCTGAGGCGGAGCTAAGGATGGCTGATAGCGGTTTTGCGCCGGAGCGTAGAACTGGACCTGGGAGGTGGGTGGTGACAAAGTTGGAAGGGGTCGTGTCATGGGCGAATACGGCGCTGGCGGTGGGCTCACCGGCTTCTCCGAGTTACTGCTCTCTGTCGCTTGCGCGATACCCTGCGAACTGCCATTCTCATTCTCCATATTAGTCGTCACGTGTTTATTATCATTCGTTTGACTGGCAGAATTGGTACTTCCCTCGATCTGTCCGGTGACTACACCGTTGTTCCGATAACTGGTAGCGTTCTTACGGACAGAATAGTTGCCCGATTTTGTCGCGTTCTCGAAATACTGATCACCGCCGCATACCGGGTTATTAACCCTACGGCCGTTCGCGTATTCGAAATTCGGCATGGTGTTGAACATTTTTTGCGTGTTAGCGCAATTGTACGACTGACTGGCCACAAACGCGTTCGACTTCTGTACCGTATTGTAACTTTCCGTGGATTTTTGTGCTACGAAGTAAGCCGGAGAGCCCACGCCGGAACCGGCCGCCTTTTTGTTGTACTGCATCGCGGAGAACCGCGAGCTCATCGCCGGCGTTGTGTACTTATAACCTCCGTCTATGTTACTGTGTTTGTACGACTGTGAGTTCCCTACGTTTTGAGCTCGAACGAACGGATTCTGATGGGACAACGCGATCCCGTGATTCTGTGATTTCGCGTAATTGTTTTGGGCGTTCACGGAACCGGACGGTTTCGTGTACTCCCTGGAATTGAAGCACTGATTCTTATTGGCCGAGTCGAACATCTGCTGGGAGACGGATGGCGGTGTAGGCAGTAGGCTAGTACCACCGGAAGCGTTGTGAAACGGAGGCGTATGAGTGTGAGGAATGTATACCGCTGCCGGATGATAGACGATCGCCCTGCAATGCATCTGATTCGCACTGCAATCGTCGGTTTCGTTCAGACAGGTCTGCGAGCTGTATAAGTTAGCGGTGTGTATCGCGATTGGATGATAATTGGTGTAACGACCGGACATGGGAAATTTCACGGGCATTAAGGACACCAGGGGTGTGGCTGACCCTGAAGCAGCCTGTGTTTCACCATGTGGTTGCTCCGAGTGGCTTGATGTCGAACGAGAATCCTACGGTTCATTTCACAAATATGTTGTAGTTTGCCGTATGAAGAGCGCGCGCGCGCGCGCATATATGTGTGTTCTTTTGTTAAATAATCAATTTATTCTTGTACGATGAGTGTTACGACAATTACGAATGCGATAACACGTTTCTTGAATATGGAAAAGCTAAGTATCCTCTGCCTGTATTCCTTTTTTCAATTAAAACGAGCTTATTGTTACTCTTGCTACTCTTTAACACTTTCACTGCTACATCATTCTTGATAATATGGCAAAGTAAATCTACATATGATTATTTTCTAATTGCTATTGTTTCATTATATAACTAAACTTTATATACATATAGTCAGTCTGTTGGTGAAATTAATCAAGTCCACTTTAAGAAATATGACTCGCTTGAGATCATGTAAAAACTTGGCTGAACAAAGCAAAGCGTTAAAAAGTAGTAATAGTATCAATTTTTAATGTCCAAAAATTATTAAAAGTAGAGTAACTTACTTCCTGTGGAGCAGCTTGACCATCAGACGAAGACGTTTGCTGGCATTGAGCATCGGCGGCGTAAATCAACAGTTGCTGATCTGTTAATCCCATCTGCGCATGTGGAGGTGGCGGTGGATGGGGTCCAGCTGCAAATGAATAGTACAAGTGGTCCACCTGAGGAGGAGGAGGACCTGCAGGCACCGGTGGATGATGATGTGGTGGCGGAGCAGCAGGAGCATAGAAATGCGCCGGAGGTGGTGGAGGCAAAGACTGAAGCGGCGGTGGAGGACCTGTTGGTGGACTGGTCGCACCTGTGCCGTTGTTACCACTTCCTGAATTACTGTTACCGCCGCTCGTGTTGTTCTGCGAATTGTTAGTGGCATACAAGTACGGAGAAGCTCCGGCGGCGGCTGCCCCTGGATAATACGTCTCGTACTGCACAGAAAAAAATTCTATCATTAGTTATTTGCTTCGTTTGAAATGATTCTATGGAAAGAATATAGGAACCAGCTATTTAAAGAAAACAAAGAAGATATCGTACATTAATCGTGTTGTATGTTGGTTTTCGTTTAGAAGTACTAAGGTCAATGTACATGCTATGAGACAAGTCTTTGATACATCGAATAGCGTCTCGATGACGTTTGAATATTATATACGTTACCTTAACCTGAATTTAATTATCTTTTATTATGTACCTTTTATTTTTTGGACACATATTTCGTTCTACACTCTCTATGAAATATAAAAACGTAATACAGGACAGCAGTGTGAAAGAAGAAGTCGAAAGATACATATAAATGCACGTTCAAGAAAGTGAACAATATGAGAACATTAATAATGTTATACTGTGATACACTCTGTAAAAATAAAACGAAACTGCGACACTTTTTTATTGCGACAGAAGCATAAGAAGTGCATATTTGAATGACTAAATGAAAAGACGAAAAAGTTGCGTTTATTCGTACGCAAAACTCATACGAAAGATTATTAATATAAATCATTGATTATGAAAGAAAGACAAATGTGCATGCATTGATAGGCCATGCAGAAGTCTGGCAAAGAAAACGCACAAAGATAATGCGCTGCATGCTAGTCGTTTTTAGCATAGACCATGTACCTTTAGACCTCAATACTGTATAGCGTCGAGAAGAAGGTAAGTAGGCATTTGCTGAGGGTTGGGTAGAAACGCCGGTGGTATGGCTTCTCCCATCAAACCATTTGTCTGTCAAACCGCAACCGATTTACCGTTTAATATAAATACAAGCTATACCCGTAGACAATTCATATGATAGAGTGTGTATACAGGAACCCAAGATTAAAAGGAGTATCAGAGAAAGAGGTCGATATAGTTTTTTATCTGCTACGTTACATACCGGCATAGGTGAATACTGATACTGTTGTGGCATGTAAAGAGATGGAGCAGGACACGGATACATCACAGGTGCGAAAGTTTGATGACCAGCAGCTTGTGGCCCTAATTATTAAAGTTGATTTTATTTGATTATCATAGACACATGGAATCTACCGAAAATGAATGATAATTTTGTATAAAATTTACCAAACACTCCTGTTGCTTGATAGATGGTCGCTGGATCAGTTGGTGGTGCAATCTGCGTCGTTGGTGTGGGAGCTGTTGTGTTGTAAAATGTCATTCCATTTTGGTATGTCAGACCCATACCTAATTCAAGAAAAAAAAATTGTTTTGCATGACAAAGCAATCCTATGAAGCAACAGTAATGTGTGAAGTTGATAAAACTGTAGAATTTAATTACACTGACCATTTGTGTAGTAGTAAGTACTAGTAGGCACAGAAGGTGGTGATCCAGAACCACCATCAAAAGATCTATTGAAAGGTTGTTTTTTAATTGCAGGTGCTATATTTAATTTTCTTTCCCTTAACACAATGCATTCAGACTATAACCAAAACAATTTTAAATTAGTATTGTAATTCATCACATGTTGTAGGATCAAGTACATTACAAACAGATGTTACAAACCTCTTGTTGAAGTCTTTTAGCTTCTTCCTCTGTTTCAAATGTGACAAAACCATAACCTTTGGAAACACCAGCACGATCAGCAATTATTTTTGTAGCCTTCACATTGCCATAAGAGGAAAAAAGTTGAGCAAGTTCTTCTACACTGGTATTAGCAGAAATACCACCTACAAAGATGCGATTTGGTACCAAAGTACCATATTTTGGTGCAGCCATGGTGAGACTTGTAGCTGAGGCAGGGCTAGAGGCTGGGCTAGACCCCTCAGTTCCACCCGTTGATGCGGAACTCTAAATAGCATGACTGATATTAAAACAACGCAGCTAATATTTATTTATGATACAGGAATACAATAAAATAACGATGAAGTAAATATAGAGTGATTTAATATGAATGAAATTATAATGTCAAGATATTTTGTGTCAAGTACTCATGTGTTACAAAATTATATAGTTCAATAGATGATTCAATCTTGTAAATATTTATGTACAAGTGGTAACAGCACACAATGTAAATAATAAATGATAAATACCATAACATACAAAAACACAAGTGGCATAAAATATCTGTATTTTTTTGCAAAACCAATTTATTTCTTTCACCAAATTACTGAATGTCAATGATAAAAAGAATCAATACATACATCTTAACAATGTATTCTCCACATGTATGTCACTTATTGGAAAACAAGTATGAACTTGAAGTAATCAAGTAAATCGCGACTACTGTGTCACAGGTGCGTGACACCTAAATATCGATACGAAGCATATTAGACTGTCACTAATCGTAAAAGCTTATATCCAAACAAAAACAACTCATTTGCTGATCTGCACATTATGACCAACACTTTTTTCATGCGGTGACAAATAAACGTAGGTTATGCTTCGCTGTCAACGTACGAGATCATCGGGGAATGAATACGAGAACGGTGTCACTGATACGCGTCAAAGTCGTTGTGTGACCGCTTTAAGTCGTACGCTACCTAAAAATATTGACAAGCAAGAGCTGTTCGTTTAATAGCCGAGATCCGAAGCATCGATAACAATTAAATAATCGAAAATGCTTGCGAGGACAACGGTCTCGTACATTGCCGTCTCATGCGTATAATGTCGCGTTCGCGATAGAACACACTGGCGAATGAAAAAACGAATTTGTCAAAGGGTTAGAGATGAAAATCTTCAGGCAAGAAAATGCTCACCATCTTCGTGAGAGTCTGGCGTGTAAATCAGTTTCTTGGCCGTGAAGTTGTCCTAGCAGCTTGAAGGTACCCTGGCCTCGCACGAGGTCACCTGGGTGCCCAGGGACTGCCAAGGACCGTTGCAACCACTTCAAAAGGACTTCCAGCCTCCGGCGAAGCTGCTGTTCCTTCTCGCTAAACCTCCAAACACTACAGACACTTTTACAAGATGGCGGTCGTACGCGCCTTTCAGGGCGCTAATTTTCCTGATTTTAAATTCCCAATCCGTCAGACTTCACCGTTCAGGCCTTCAGTCTCAAGGATAGATATACTTGGGGACGTTTCAAAAAGCAGAAATGACACTAAAATTTCTTACAACGTAATATAATATACAGGGTATTGATGTTTATTGAATCTCTCTTAAACGATGGATTGCTATAAACATATTACTTTAAATTATTTTCAAAACCGTAAATTACAATTAAACTCTTTTTGGGTGAAAATATAATTACAGTTAGGAAATTTATTTTCAATATCCTGACATATACTACATGTAAATATAGATTAGTATGCGATCATATGGTATAATTATTAATGGAAAATTATTATTACGTGAATATTTGTAGTACAATTTTAAAATCTATATTTTTTAAATAATGGGAATTAAATTTTACCACAATGGCGGTGATTGTTCGCGGTTACTATGGTTCACAATGTATGTTTTTTTTTTTTCACGAAACTTACCTAATTTTGAAGAAGCAAACATTCAAAGAATTGCTTCTGAACTGCAAACATGATTACCTAAGGACTAGCTTGCAATGAATAACCGAATAAAAACACTGAAATTGAAACGAGAAACGAGAACGGAGAGAAAAACAAAAATGTGCCTCCTCACAGCATTGTTGACTTCGAAAGACTGAAACATTCGCCGCTGTACTGCACTTGTCAATGTAACATCTGTAACTTTATCAATGTTCTAATGAATTTATTTTTCAGGAGCGTACTATTGCCATAAATTCATTTAATAATTACTATAATGAGTTTTTGCATCAAGGTGAATGACTATTTTTGAAAATAATAAATTTAGGAAAATATAACAGCATTGTTTTGAATCTAGTTGTACTGGCAATTTTACGGTATTCGATGTTCGAATGTTGTTAGGAAAATGACAAATGATGGTCGAAAGCATATATGGACCAAAAAATTCAGCTTTATCTTCTTAAACACAAATACATGCTATAAAAAGAAATTTATCTAACGTTATAATTACTGCGTCGTTCGTTATGTATTGTAACTGGAATGACAAATGTGATACAGTTAACAGATACAGGATAAAATTTATTAAACTCAATAATATGTATTTATATACAAGAAATGTACAGTAAATGATATTTATGTATCGTAGTCTTTATACATTGTTTAAATCGAGGAATGTTGTAAAAATTCGCAGAAACAACGTACTTCCTCTAATAATTCGAAATTATCCCAGCAGCGATATTTAAATTCTGAAAATTAAAAAATCGTTAATTATTAAACAATTCTTTTATTCTCAGTGATTAGAATCTCATTTCTATAAAAACAGAAAAGTTGTATAATCTTTTCAATTAATTGTAGAACAAATAGACTAGTTCGTTAAGTCCTCGATTCGTAAAATAGTAAAATGAACAAATGAATATAATTATATTATAGCAATGTTCAGTATTATTTGTGAATGGATTCTACAAGTAAATAACAACACAGATAATTAAAATTGTCTATGAAATATTTTGTATCAAAATTTGCAGGAACATATTTCTATACTAATGAATCGTTAACTCACATATTTTTTATGCATGGCAAGACAAAAAGTGCAAACTTGCGGCCTCGCATGTGAATCGGCCCAGTGATTTGTCCCATAAACACGGCCGCTGTCCTCAATACGTAAACAGGGTTGATCTACAGGGCCGGCGACAAGAACGGCACCCAAGTGGCTGATGTAACTGCTGGCTAATCGCAGTGTCTCTATTTTCGATAATTTCCTATCCGCGGGTTCCGTCGGTATTAAAGTTCTCAAGGCACTGAAAGCCGTGTTCACACTGCACAGCGAAGATTGGATTTCTTGAGTCTCGCGTTTGGATTCCTTACCCTCGTTAAGTGTATTCGCAAATTTTGCACTACTGAATGTACTCCTGAACCAAAAGACGAATTTCTCGTTTATACACTGCTCAAAGCAATTAGAGACCTTTACTTTGTAATTTACTGTTTAACATAACAATATTTCATATATTAATAAATAAATTAGATTAAATAAGCACCTCTCTAATCACTTTAAGCAGCACACATCCTGTAATTCAATTCTTATGTTTCTATTTATGCATCCCTACTATTTGCAAAGAAATACTAGTACACAATTTCTGCATTATTTTTATTGCTTTATTACCACCATATTAAAATATGGATTTTTAATGTTTTACAATGAAAAAGAAAATTATTTTCACCTATGAGTGCGATCCCTTTCACGTGCATTCGCTTGATAACGTTGTTTTGATGATTCCTCTTTCTTTCGTGCAGCCATGCTGCACCGCGCCGCTATCAGTTAATCGTTAAACAACTACACTAACTTGAAAGAGGCGTCCGACCACACCGGCGGCTCATTTATGAATGACTAAGCGCCACGACTTCCTTCGTTTCCTCCAGGATTCCCTCTTCACCGATGTGTTGCTTTTAACCCCACCCCACCCCTTCCTCTCACTTGGATACACATGTGAAATGCACGTGCATCCGATTACGGGCGAACGAACCACTTGCACGATGCGTTGCTGGTAAAAACAGAAAGCGTTAATAACAATTTGGAAAATCTAACGAAACTATAATACAAAACACAGTTAAACAAATAACACGTAAAAAAATTGTAACCAAAAGTAACAACAGAAATGCAAGAAGTTTATATTACTAATTAACGAGTTGTATTTAATTCTCTTCTGAAAAGCAAAACATGTAGTTAATTTTTTTATGGGATAATATTAATTTCCATTTATGCAGAATGACTGAAGTGGAATTGTAACTCAGAAATAGATACAATAAAGACAAATAGTAGAATTAAAGCAGTTTTGGTTAATTCAAGCCACACAATTACTTTATATAAACTAACAATCTAACAACATAGCTGTCCATTAAACAATAAATTAAATAAAATAAGCATTCTTCAGAGAACTTCCACAAATACTGTTAATGATTCTGTAGCCAATATCTCCTCCTTGTTAAAATTTACCATTATTGGGAAATATTTCAATAAAACGTTCATGAAAAACGTTGCAGTTTCGTAGTTTAGTATACGGTTTTTGAATGGTCAATGTGACACTTGCGCTTCCTCTTACGGACCAAAGATACAAGTGTACATGGATGTGATGACTCCCACGTAAAGTGGTCGGAGGCTGGGTTTCACATTACGGCCAATAAAAACAAGCCGACTACCGGTGGAAAGAGCCAGGAAAATAAATACCATGTGCAAAACTAATTAGTCTAGTTTGATGCAGCTTCGGGCTGATTCATAGTTGTCCTTTCTACAAATTCGTTTAATGTTACAGCGATGGATATAAGTTATGATAAGATGACACCAAAAGATAGTCTTTTATAAGACAGGCATTTATTTCTGTCCAGGGGATCCAGTGACAGGCAAACTGGTAATAAAAAATTATACAATGATTCGATCTTTCAATTACAATAAAAATTTTCATTTCGGTGCATTCTTTTCCTATTTCTCTGGTAACAGATTAAAAGATGGAAAAAAAAAGAAACGTCAGCTTGAGATTAGCTTTATAGCGACGCAAAAATGTATAATTCCTTTAAAGATACCACTATAATATCAGTAAAATATATTATAGCCTTGTAAGTGCAAGCAAACAAAAATCATAACACAATTGATTACTCAATATCTCAGCCATACTTTTGCATTCCAAAAATTTCATCTCGAACGCTGTGTGTGTGTATGTGTATGTAAAGAAATTAAGAGAGAAAAAAAAGATAGCGTAAAACTGGATGTTCCTATGAAATATTTTACTTAGTTAAATAACTAGATTACATTAAATTAATTATATAGCGAAAAATTTACATGTTCGAATGGTCGTCAGAATAAAGGATCATTTTTTTCAGCATTTGCTTCTCTCTTTCATTAAAACACGTTTACGCATTAATTTCCAGCGCCTGCACTATACAGGATATTTCTGTCAACTCTGCGAAGCGCACGACCATGGAAGATTATACGTTCGCACACGCCATTTTTCCTATAAACTTTTTTTAACTTTGGTCACTTTTGTTACAAAGTTTGTTTGTTTCTTTTTTTGTGTTTTTTTTTGTCGTTTTTAATTTCTAATCAGCCGCTCGATCGAACTAGTATCAAACGTTCATGGTCTTCGGAGTAAAATCTTAAAAGGGTACATATAGAAAATATACAAATCGTCCGACACAGAAATTACATAATTATTTAAAACTTAAGTTACATCTTACGATACGCTAGAACACGGAAAGTCTGTGACAACTGTCCGTGAGTCATTCACTGAGGCACGGACAGTAAAACACGTTCGGAAGTTACTCTAAATATTATAAAATTATTCATTCATCTCGAAGACACGATTCGTGTTCGTCGATGTTATTAATATATAATCGGGTGTGTAAAACAAACGGAGAACGATCTACTTTCCTGCATGTAAGCACGAAAGAGCTAAAACAGAGAACGCGGTGAACCATTTTCCTTCTGAACACTTTGGCATTATCACCGCTATGAAAAAAATGAAATCAAACGGAACGAATCTCGTTTGAGCATGTAGTTAATATCGTGGACTTGGTGATATATATAATATATATATAGAGATTTCAA